AGACCAAAAACATTCAGCTCTTGGATGAGGGTGGTGGAATTAGGGGTGATCTGCCTTTCCCTTGCCCCACTTATGTTTTATAATTTTCTAAAACGATCGTACATTTCCTTTATACGCAGGTCACTATGAAAGTTTTGAGATGGACTATGTTATGGTCCATTATTTTACTTCCAAGAAACACAAGTGCACAGCACCCTTTCTGACTCACCTGTGCAAGTTTCAACTTGCTTGGCTTATTGGTGTTGCTGGGAGGGTTTCATCTGTTTCTGTTGGTGCAACTTTTACCTTTCTTGATTTTTTGTGTTATCTCAGAACTTTTGTAATGACCCATGCAACAGAAAAAAACTAAACCTCACTTTACAAATTATTTTAGGTCCTGTCTCTGTGCTGAACAGGTGTGCTGAGGGGGGAGGCGGGAGGTCCTGGGTGTGTACCTTATGCTCGTCCCGGAGGTGGCTGTCCAGTTCCTCTGTGTGCTTGGTCTCGTAGTAGCAGAGCTGGCATTTGTAAGGTTTCAGTTCATTGTGCTTTTCTATGTGCTGCTGGAGGCTCTCGTCACTGGAGCAGGTGAAGGTGCACTTATCACAGCGGAAAACTACTCCCTGCAAGTATTTTGACAGTTTGGAACGGCACACTTCAATGGGGACAACTCGCTCTTCTGTGGAAACAAAGTGAATGCAGAGATGGGGATTTTTACTGATAGTAAGCAGACGTGCTTTCTAAAGAAGACACTCACCTGGTCAATTCTGCTGTTTCTTGAGGGTCTGTGTCCATGAACACTTCCCCTCTCTGACTGCCCCCCTGTACCCACTGACAACATAGTCCTTGGGTTCAAGTTGGTGTTTATAAACCAAAATTCTTGTGTACTTAATACCCATGATGACTTATAAATAGAGATGAGGCAGGCTAGAAGGTACTCGCTAGTTCCTGAATGGTGGTGACCAAGGTAGGGAGACAGAATAAAGTGGCTGCCATTTTCACCAACACTGATGATCATTGACAATGACCATTAGGATACCCTCCTTCCTCAGCAAGTGTGCCTGGGGCTGGATTTACAGGTGTCTTCAAGGAGGAAGGAAACGGGCATTAACTGGGCACCTCTGGTATATGCTAGCACCTTTCCACACACAACTCTACGAGGCTGGAGTTATTAAGTGACTCTCCAAAGATCAGACTTTGGTAATTGGCAAAGCCGAGATGTAAAGCCAGGTCTGCCTAACTACAAATCTATCACTCCTACCATTTCCAATTCCATTCCTCTTTTCCCTTCCAAGATGCTTTCAAGAAGACTATTCCCTTGTCCTGAAACCAAGGGACTCTCTGATCTAATATCAGACCTGAAAACAAAAAAACCTGTACACTTTCATTCACGAAAACTCCAACTCCAACTATGAAGACCTCACAAATGAAACCACGGCGGGCAACATTCCCGGAAGGCGGAAGGTCTCCTAGAAGCCCTGGAGGATTCGTGCCTTTTCATACAATCTGTAATCTGATTGTCAGAAAGGAAAAAATAAAAGAGAGAGAGGATTTGGGTGTTTTTCCCATTAACATACCAAATGCTGTAGGGCTGGAAATGCGTGTGCTTGTTTATTCTGCACTCTCTCACCCTTGTGTTTAACTGCTCAAATTAAATTTCACACCAGTCTGCCCAGAGTATGGGCGCACGCGCCAGATAACCATAACTGGGATAAAATTAAAATCTGTGCTATTTATGCAAGAATCAAATATAGCGTGTGTTTTCATGCTGTGTCTGGATTTCAGAAGACTCCGAAAGTTTACAAATGGACGCACACAACATATACTTATATTATTTAGAAAGAGCACTGTATTATTAAGTCAAGAAAGCATGATTTATTCCCAGAGTCTCTGAAAAGCAATGTCTCCAGAGCATCGGTATTTTGTGTGCTGATTCGACTCACTCTGAGTCCTCCCTTGGTTGGTGGCCTATCTTTGGCCCCTGGGGAATTTTCCCTACCCAATGTCATGCCTTAGTCTCAGCCACAATATTCAAACTACAGGGAGGTCACTGCCTTGGGAGTCCTTGAATGCAGCGATTAATCAGACAGCAAAACCCTCAGCGGAGGAGGCGTGGAAGATGGTGTCTGCAGCACACTCCTCAACACAACGAGTCAGTCGCTTGTTTAGAAATATAAATATCTCTAAACCCAATTATAGCAGATAGCTATGAAACATTATAACGCAATCCACACTTTTTTTTTTTAAGAATAGCAAATATTTAACAGCTTTATAACCACTCAGCTCTATGGTTTGATGTCGGCGGAGGAAGAAAAACACTTTGACATAAACTAGAAAGTCTAATGGACCTCACGTTGGGATGTTCTATCCCTCCCGCCCAGGGTTTCTCTACTACTGACTGACACTTCGGGTCTGGAAAGTTCTTTGTTGTCTGGGGCTGACATGTGCACGGCCTCTACCAACTAGGTAATGGTGGCATCCCCTTCTCCCCAGCTGAGACGGCCAAAAATGCCTGCAGACGAACGTACCCTGGGGAGGCAAGATCAACCCCAGCTGAGAACCTCAGCTTTAAGCAAAGTGCCGGGAATAAACTGACTGCTCTGAGTAAGACATGAACTGCAAGCAAGCCCAGGGCAAAGGGAGGGGGTGCAGGCCCAACTAGCCCACCCCCACGTTGGGGTGCACCTTATGCGCCAGGAGGTCATGGGAAGTGTCAACATGACCTTTGCCGGCCCCTTGCTTGGCACCACACCCCCTTGCTCTCTCTCCACTTGTTCTTGGTTTCTGTCTGGCCATCCCTCCTTGCTGCCACTTTGTTCTTTGGCTGTGGCCCATCCTGCCTGCCCCAAGTCTGTCGACCTCCACAGACAGAGATGGAGAACAGCCGGTATCACTTTCCACACAATGATGCCCCACACACTTGGAAGACAGTCATTCAGTCACTCCCTGGTCTTCACTTCTCCATAGTCAATGATAGGTTCTTTTCAAACTTAAAAACAAACAAACAAAAAACAAGCAAACGGGTGTCCCTTTCAATTCCTCTCCCACTTTGGTTAGTTTTCTTTGCAGTTCCCAATTTCACTATGTGTGTCTAAGTGAATGTTACACAGAGCTGTGAGTACTCAGAATAATACCCTGGAGTTCAAATAATAATAATTCACGTGGACGCCACCGCGGTTTATTAAGTGCTCACTATGGTGTGGGCTGTTAGGCGTTTGGCCCTCATGGCAACTTGTTATCCTCATAACACCCTGTGAAGTCAGTTCTGTTTTCCTCCGTTTATGGATATAGAAACTGGGATCAATTAAGCTGCCTCCTCCAAGGCACAGCTCTGGATTAGGACAAAGTCGTGACCTGGGAGCACAGGTCTCCTGACCTCTGCCAATGCCCTCCTGCTGCACCCCTGGTTCCCGAACTCTGTGGGAACATTCAAGCTGTCTGCAGGGTACTTATCAGTCTTTCATGCCGTATTTTAAAAATGAGAAAGCCACCAACTTCTAAGGTGACATGAATATCTGAATATCTTCCAAGTATCTTCTGGATTTAAGCAAAGGCCATTTCTGCTTCCTTACTCTGAAATGTGAGACTTCCCATTTCCAAATTAAGACATTAGCAGTGTGCCAAGTCTCTTAATTACATGGGCTTTTTACTAAGACATTAATTTTAGAAAAAAGATTAACTTTTCCTCCTTTCTAAATCATAGCTAACATGTCCAAGATTAAAAAAAAAAATACACCAAACAAACAAGCAAAAAACCAAGACAGACTTTAAAAGGTGGGCAAATGACCAACAGTGTTTTCTGAATGAGGTTATTCATTATTGAAGCAAGTGAAGGACATAAAGTTTACGGCTGGAATGTTTCCAGGTACCGACAGGCCCTGCTTTGGCTACAGAAGCTCAGTACTCAGGATTTTTTTCTACCAGGGCAGTGACAAGTGTGGGTCTTTTTGACTTCACACCTCTCAAAATTACCTTGGGTAAGAAATCAGGGCCTGAATCACACTCATTGTGACTCAGCTTCTAGCACTGGCTGCAAAAATATTATGACTTCACCAGTTAGACTACAAGATGGATTGTGTCTCTCATCTCCTCCTACTCAAAAGATGCTTGGTACTGCAATGGGACATAAAACCCGAGAGGCTGGCCCCACAGTAATGTCACATTGAAGCACATGTGTACCAAGGCAGAACAAGAGCTGGGAATGGCATGCTATCAACCTCTCGTGGAGTTCAGTGGAAAAATCTGCAGACTTGCAACTACACAGGGGTCAGTTCTGCCCAAATCGGTGAAAAACCGCATCATGGTGGAGTCCTGAATCATCAAGTACAAATTCTTCCTGAAAGGCAGACCACAACGTACGTCGGTTTCCTTCCCAGAGCGTGCCAAGTCTAAACGAATTTGGAAGGATTTAGGAGTCCTTCTCTCCAACAAACTCTGTATGCAAATTATCATTTTAGAGGACTGACTGCCTCTTGGGGCTGAACCAAAGACTGACTCTTTAGGTCAAAGAACAGACAAAGGCTGAGAACTAGAGAAAGCCATTAAGAAAATAATATTAGTTTTTAAAACAATCATCCAAAAATATAACCATAAACAGACGTACAAAATGACAAGGAAAACAGCTCCTGGTGAGAAGTATTACATTTTTCAAGTTAGCCAGGACACCACCCTCAATGTAGAGAGGGATGGGAATAGCACCTCCAATTCTAACAGGCAAAGATATTTGGTGGGGTTGGAATGGAAGATGTAATTTCACTGAATAACATTAAAGACTGGAAATCTCACTGTAGTTTTTTTTTTTTCTCAAGAAAAATGACATTGATCAGATAAATTAGGGGAGATTACTTCTGTTTCCAAGACTCCCACTTGCAAAGTTCAGTTAAATTCAGCATTTGTCTACGTATCAGGAAACAGAAACTTAAAGTTAATATGCCAACTGGAGATCAGCAGTAGTGACTGCACAGCTCCATAATTACAATGTAAATATTTGGCAAAACCGTGTTTCATCCCTAAAATTCAATCTGTGCCCAATTTTTCAGGCTCACTATGGGTGTGCAAGGTGCGTATGGGCAAAGCTTTGCATGAGGCATTGTGCTTCCAATGGTATAAACTCCACAGCAACATACCCACGAAACTATTTACTCACTTGTCTGTTGTCTCTTTCTATTTAAGTTCTTTCAGTGCACAAACCTTGCCTGGCTTTTTTCATGGCTGCATCCCAAGAGCTTAAGACAATGCTAGCATTCTCTCTTCCAGCTGCCAAGATGCCCAAAGGAAAGAAGGCCAAGGGGAAGAAGGTGTCCCTGGTCCCTAATGCTGTGAAGAAGCTGGAGGCCAAGAAGGTGGTAAATTCCCTGTTTGAGGGAACACCAAAGAATTCTGGCATTGGACAGAACATCCAGGCCAAACCTCATCTGGCTTGTCAAATGGTCCCACTATGTCCAGTTGCATGGCAAGGGCTCTCTGCTATACACAGTTGAAGGTGCTGCCTGTGATTAACAGGTTCACCAGGCCTTGGGCTCCCAAACAGGCATGCACCTGCAAGGACAGACCAGAGACCACGCAGGAAAAGCAGCAGAGACTGTTGGCCCAGGCTGGGGAGAAAGCTGCGGCGAAAGGGATGTCCCACTAGGAGGCCACCTGTCCTCTGACAGGCAGTAATACTGTCACCACCTTGGTGGAGAACAAGAAGGCTCAGCTGCTGGTGATGGCACATGTCATGGATCATGCCGACCTGGTTGTCTTTCTGCACGCCCTATTATGGGAAGATTGGGGTCCCTTCCTGCATTATCAAGGGGAAGGTAAGGCTGGGGTGTCCAGTCCACAGGGAGACCTGCACCACTGTGGCCTTCACGCAGGTCAACTTGAAAGACAAGGGCTAAGCTGGTGGAAGCTCTCCAGACCAATTACAATGACAGATATGATGAGATCTGCCATTGCTGGGGAGGCAAAGTCCTGGGTCCAAAGTCTGTGGCTTGCATTGCTGAGCTGGAAAAGGCAAAGGCTAAAGAACTTGCTCCTAAACGCAGCTAAATGTACTGTGTTGGGTTGTGTGCACATGAAATAACAAATCCCCCTCAGAAAACAAAAACAAAATAATGCTAGCAGGTAGTAGGTATTCAATACATATTTGTTGCATGAATGAAGACCCACCAAAAGTCCTTCCACCAACTTTGTCCTTGAAACAAAAGTCTCAGGGCTTACTATTTCTCTAGTTAAACTCATCAAATCATGACCAATCTCATCAAACGTTGATGTGACCCAAGTTCACAGTTCCTGAAAGAGATGAGTCTACCAATCCTGTGCTTCAGTCTTTGGTCCATTAGTCTTCATAAGGGTCTCAATACTGATCAAGATTTGTCCTGGCCTCCCATTTGTCAATTGTATAAAAATCAAACTTTCTTATTAGTATCTAAGAGGTCCATGGTTTGGCCAGAACACGTTTCTCTGGTACAGGCACTCAGAAATGTCTAATACCATTCTACAAAGATGTCCTGCTGACCTGAGTGGTTTATTAATTATTCCTTTCCCTATGCAAGGGGCTGAATAGTATCCTCCAGAAATCTGGAGGATTTGTCCATTTGGAACCTCAGAATGTGACTTTACTGAGACATAGAGTCTTTGTAGGTGCAGTTAGTTAAGATGAGAGTCATACTGAACAAAGGCAGTCCCTAACTCCAATGCCTGGTGGTCTTATAAAGAGGAAAGAAGGTGGTGTGAAGATGGACACAGAGATTGGGGTGATGCAGCCAGAAGCCAAGGAGTGTCAAGGAAGCCCAAGAATCGTCTGAAGGTGGGAAGAGGCAAAGAAGTGTTCTTATCTTTAGCGTTCAAAGGGAACACAGCCCTGTCAACTTTTTTTTTTTTTTTGAGACAGGGTCTTAAGCTGTTGCCTTGGATAGAGTCCCATGGCTTCTTAAGCTCACAGCAACCTCAAACTCTTGGGCTTAAGTGATTCTCTTGCCTCAGCCTCTCAAGAAGCTGGGACTACAGGTGCCTGCCACAACACCCAGCTATTTTTGTTGTTGTTGTTGCAGTTGTCATTGTTGTTTTAGCTGTCCCAGGTCAGTTCTGAACCCACCAGGCCTGGTGTATGTGGCCAGCGCCCTACCACTGATCTACAGGCATCATCCCCCTGCCACCTTCTTGATTTCAGACTAGGAGTCTCTACCGTGAGAGAATGAATACATTTCTATTGTTTTGGTCATTTGTTACAATATTCTCTAGAAAATTAACATCCTGCCTTAAGTTTTCTCTGTTGAAATGTTATCACGGCTCAGTTTGAAAGCCATCCATCCCTTGCTGCCCCCTTTCTCTCCCCCGGGCAGAAGCACCTCTCTAGATACCCATCAGTCGCTGTCTTGTATGTACTATGCACACGTTCATCTCCTGGGGAGGGAAGGTACTAGGTTTTATATATCCCATCTTGCCCCCAAACCAAACATGCCCAAGAACTTAGCATGTAACAAGTGAACAATGAATGTTTGCTGAATCCGAGAGCAAATACCATGCTGTCTTCCACCACAGCCACCATAAATAAATCCCTGAGTAGCCCTCATTTGCATTTCCCATAAATGAAATGGTTTCTCCTCCCTCTTCTCCCTTCCTAAACATATCAATTTGTCCAGACAAACAGCTATGGAAACTATTTTTTGCCAGCAGTGACTCTGTCTCAGGGCCAGGCCAGAAGTTGTTTTTCTTGCCTTTCATCCCAAGTATTTTAATTAACTAAGGTCTCAGAAAGATCTTGTACTAAAGGCCCCGGGGACCAAAGATGTTTATTCATGCACATAGCAGGAAGACAGGTGCAGAAGGAGCCACTTCTTGTTACTATGAGATGAGCCCCAACCCGACGCTTCAAGGCAGACACCACACCCTGTCTCAGGATGCCTCAAGACCAGTTTCCCATGGAGCTGCCATTCTGAGTTGAGATGGGCACCAAAGTCAGCTGGGACAAGGGGTCCGGCTGTCCTGTGCACTCTGCTACCTGTGGGTCAGTGGCTCCCACAGATAAGTTAGTCCTCACACCCAGCTGCCACAACCACTGGAACACTCAGCAGGGTGATACCAATTTCCCAAGGCTGAGACAGTGATGCCTGGTGGATAAGGGGAAGGACTGAGGGTCAGAATCAGAACAGCCTGCATGAGTCATTTGACCTTCAGTTGTTTGGCCTTTCTGAACTTACTTCCTTTTCATTTGGGATAACAGTCATAGCTACCATATAGATTTTGTGAGAATTCTATAGGATGACATATCATGAAACACTTAGTACAGTGCCTGTTACCTAGTGAGCACCCAGAAATACTACTGATGTTAATGCTATTAATGTTGGTATTATTACTATGAATCCTCGAATACCCATGTTCTTTACTAGATTGGTGCTTTCCGATCTTGAGAGAAATCATGAAATTATCTCTATAAGCCACAGGACAGACTATAAATAACCAGCATCAGGGGACACTGGATCAAAGGACTGGGGCTGACAACGGCTTCAGTGCCCACTAGTTGGGTGACTCCAGCCTACCTGGGCCCTGCAGAACCTACCTTCATGGCCTCCCCTGGGTATCCAAACTCTTGGTCACTTTTACCACATTTATAGGTGAACTTTCCACTGGTTTCTTCTTACTTTTGCATTTGCCCCCAATTTCCTCCTTTGTTTCTAATTCTATAGCTCTGCACAAATGTCTTTAAGATACCTTAAATCCTTTGTAAAATGAAATAGAATGCAAAGAAATACAGTAAATAAAAAGATACATGTGGTCTTTCTTAGCCTCACGATGCATATATACACTAACCAGGAATATAAGTAATAGTACCGTCTCTTGTGATTCTGTTGGAAGATGAAGTGACTTTCTGTTTATCAGCAGCACTCTGTTAAGTGTAGACGGTTACGGGAGTGTTTGTGGCCTTAGTGCTTAAGCTCTCTCTGCCTCGCCCTCTCCTGTGTTCTCAGGGAAGGAAAGTCATTGAGCTCGTTAGGCATCAGAGCTCTGATCCCGCCAGGCAGCAATATGGGAAAAGAAGGGCACCAACCACAGAAAGTCAGGTCTCACCGTTTCTGTTTGCTCGGCAGCAACACTACTGATGGCCTGTACCCAAGCTGGAACAGGGCACAGAGCCACTGCAACACATGTGCTGGGGGACCGGAAGCCAGGTGACCGAGGTGGAACACCAGGGAGGACCACGCAGGCCAAGAACTCCTGTCTAAGTGTTCTTACGCTGCTTCTCCCAGCTCACAGGTGGACTTCCTAGCCAGCAAGGGTATCCTGTCTCATTATAGCGCAGTGGGGAAGAGGGAAATCTGAGCGTGTTAAATTTCAGTCTTGTATGGAGTCTGCACAGACATAGGTGAGTATGTCATAAAATGGCTAAAGGCAATGACACAGGGGAAAGGTGAGAACCTTTGCCAACATCCCCCCACACAGCCAGCATTTCAGTGACATCTTAGCAGGATTGCAGACAACATGCATTGATTTTGAGGCACATGTGTCAAACACTGAAGAGCATCCCAAGGCTAGAGTTGAAGGAAGGAAGAGAAGAAGGAAGAGGAAAAAAAGAAGGGAGGGAAAGAAAGAATGAAGGAGAGACAGAAAGATCAGAAGATGAAAACAGCAATCAAGACTTAGATGGGTATAACATCTTTCCATCCACCTGTGGCTAGAATCTTTTCAGGACAAAGCAGTTCTACATAAACATATTTTTCCTCTCAAGAGAAGGGGAAGCCTGTTATTTAACAATGTTTTAATTAGCCAACAGTAAACTCTACTCAAAGAAAGATCACACTGGAACAGTGGACCTAAGGGAAGTAGCACTGTTTGTCACCAGGAATCAAGATTTATGGAACACCCGTCATGCAATCATTACCAAATGCTGCTGCACACGTGACCCACTGGGCCATCAGTATAGTCATCTCTTTTCATGGATGAGAGAGGGGTTAAACAGAGAAAGCTTCAAAACCAAATGTAAACCCAAAGGTCATGGAATTTTTAACGTATATTAGAATACACATATCGTTATTTGGATAGGTATATATATATATATACACATAGAATATTACAATATATAACAAATTCTATTTTAAAGAATTCTTTCTCCTTGTTTGTTTTAAGAGGAAATCTACATTCTACTTTGAAAATCTATCATTTTGGTCTTCCACAAAAGAATCTCTAGCAACCGTATAGCTCTTCACCCATTCTGTTTCCTCATTCACTCCGTCTATGCATTTGACACAAGGTCATGGGTAGCAAAAGATGTAGAATGTAACAATCTCTCGTGCTGGGAAACCCTACAGAAGTGTTCACTGCAGATCCATCACCTTTGTCTCCCTGCAGGTGGAGGGCATCCTCTCAGCAGGAAGGTGTCTTTGTCCTGTTGGCTGTCAGTGCGGTTATCACTGCGGTTTCTCGCCTGGAGATAAGGCGAGGAAGAAGGGCCCAGGATGACAGCACCATGGCCATCTTGAGGGAGCCTGCCTAGAGCCTGCCCATGTTTCCCTCCCGGCTGGACCCAAGAAAACTGACTTAGGTAGGTTACCTCGGTGCAGCACGATGTGGTCGATCATGTTGCGCTTGTATTTGGTGTGATAGAGGCAGAGAGGACAGCGAAGGTCTTTGGGGCCTTCCTCGGGAACCGCCGAATGCCCAGCTTCCATGTGCATCGTAAAAGCAGATCTGGGAGAGAGGTGGGGGAGCGAGGCGATGAGTGAGATGAGGGTCACTTCGTTCACACACCTGCTGGCACACTCGGCATAGGTGCCCAAGGGCGCCACTCCCACTTGAGGGGCTACAACGAAATCTGTTAATCAGATTTGCTGACCACACATTCCTTGGTCTCTCAACCAGTAACTGAACACTGTCAAATGGTGGTAACTTCTTTTTGGAAACTTGGCCACTTGGCTAGATGGAGGGTTTATCTTTGAAGAGTTTCCACAAACATCTTATTCTTGAAAATTAGAAATTGCCTATTCAAAGTATGAAAATAAGGCCCCTATGAGGAACTATTTCTCATCATGCTTGGGAGGGGACAGGCTATCTCACAACCAGGCTGATATACAAACTGCCTACGTTCGTCACAGGTAAGGGGAGGCAAGTTGCTTAGGAGGTCAACCGTCATGATTAAGAATTAGGTAAGGTAAACTCAGCGCTATAGTATGAGCTTGCTGGCCGATGCTGCCTCTTCCTCCATCCTTTTCACACCTTTGAAATTTCTAAAGCTTTAAATGCTTCATAAAAATGGATGAAACAGAGTTGAATGGGTGAGGGTCCCTTCTCATGAACCCCAGTGCTGCTTTCCAGAGACACACGTACACCTGTCAGTCAGCCCTTGTTATCTGGGTTCTTTAGCGTTTTCTCTGTTCTAAATTAATACGTATATACAGACAGTGCCAAAAATACATATACACACATTGTAAGAAAGAAAAAAAACCGTATTCAAATTGTAATACTCGATATATACCAAGAACAGAAGATGAACACAAGTCACATTTAATCTCTACAATTACAAGAGGTGCTCAAAATATGTACATAATATACATGTAATATATGATACACAGAAAACATCTCTTATAATGTGGTCACATGTTTTTGGCACCACCAGCATATTTATCTGAAAAATGACTGGAACAAATTAATAGTCTGAGATATAATACATTTCCTATTAAATACTAACAACTAAGAGGCTGGTGGGACGATGACTTGTTCTTTTTCTACGTCTTCTTTTTCTTTGGACCTGAAGCCTAATTTCCATAGCATCTCTGTGTGAGTCTGTACTGAAGTAGTCTTAAGGCTCAGCTCCTGATTGCCATAGAAGCAGGTAATAATAGCTTCATGTCTATAATATAATGTCTAATGTTATGTTATTATAATAGCTTTCTGTCTACATTATTATGACGCTTATTAATGTTTGCTCTGTGCCAATCACTATTCTAAGCAATTCAAATACACTCATTTACTCACGACTCCCAAGAGCCCAATGAAGTAGGTACTCTTATTATCTTTATTTTACAAATAAGGAAATGGGGACACAGAGAGGTTTAGCGACTTGTCCAAGGTCACACAGCTAATAAATGCCAAAGCTGGGATTCAAACCCAGGCAGTCAGCCTCCACACCTATAACCACTAACCTAAATGAATGTTATCTCACAGGATGAGACTGAATCACAAGAGAAGTCCAGATTACATCATAGGAAGCATTTCATTTTTTCATTGTGTTCACCAATGCTGTCATACACAGGAGCCAGAGTGGCTTTTGATTATCTTTCTCTAGATTGGAATAATTTCTCTACGATTGCACAAGTATAGTATTCATGGTGCTGAGGGTCTTGATTCTCTATGTGGTTTCAATAGTTCAACCTTAAGAAATATAAGGATTTTCTATAAGAGATGTAGCAGGGAAGTCAGTATTGCTGGACGTCTTCTCTTGACTTTGACTCTGGTTGCAAGAACACATTTTTGCCCCCAAAGACAAAGAACAAGAAGTGGGAGATAGTTCCCTGAAAGGGAAGGAAATGCTGCCCATGCATCAGGCCAGAGAAATCCTTCGCTGAGCCTCACACTGCTCAGGAGCCCCTATGCGCTGATTTTTAAATACATTTGTTCTGATATAGCCCTTGCTCCCTTTCGCGAGCCCCAAAGCAGTCTTGTGAAACCTTTCAGGAAACCTGGTCTCAACCCCTGAATCATTAGGGCTTCCCCTGAACTCTAGGTGGGTAAGTATAAAGGGAGGTATGTGGTGAGACATGGAGCAGGGGCAACCACCTTGTTCTTCACAACCGTCGAGCATGCCACTTACTTGAAGCCCGTATAGAAGGAGCAGTCTTTGCACTTGAAAAGCTTCTTCCCACCGTGCTTGTCCCGGTAATGACGCCTGATGCTCTGGATGTAGCCGGAGGAGAATTCACAGAATTCGCAGTGGAGAACGGCTTCGGTTTTCTGCTCGGTGCCAGCATTGGCCCCAGACAGAGGCACAGGGCTAACACGGCTGTTGTTTCTTGCCAGGGCAGCTGACTGATAGTGGTTCAACTGCTGCTGAACATCTGGAGGCTCAGAGTAAGACGAGTCTGTGAAGACATGGGGAAGATGACACGAGGCACAGAGGACACAGCAGAGGTCTGCAGCTGGGAAACCCCCGACATCAGGTCTCCCCACCCTGCTTTATGGAGGTATAATTGACAAATAAAAACTGTGTACGTTTAAGGTGTACAACATGATGATTTGATAAACGTGCACGTTGTGAACTGATTACCACAATCGAGTTAATTAACACATCACACCCAGCACCTCACCCCACTGCCACTTTTCATGTGTAGTAAGCACACATAAGATCGAGCCCCTTAGCAAATTTCAAGTCAACAGCACGGTTTTACTATCGTCACTGTGCTGTACATGAGGTCCTCAGAACTTATTTTCATTGTATAACTGAAAGTTTGTCCCCTTTTATTTTGACCATCATCTCCCCATTGATTTGATTTTTTTCAGGGTAATGACTATGGGCCCCTCTTGTATCTTCATTTATATCCTACAACACAGATCTGGGAAATGCACGTGGGGAGGAAACGTCACCTCTTTTAATCTGATTTCGAGGGCTCATGGCGTTTAAAAATAAAATTCTGAGGTTAAAGGTTTCAAAGTGAAGGAAGAAAGTAAACTGTTTCTCAAAGGAAACTGCAGTGTGGCAACAGGTTGCCACAAATACCCGTCCTTCTAGGTGAGATAAATAAACCCACCTAATGTACACAGGCGTCCACGCGAGAAAGGAAAGTGGATGATGCAATATCTTTTCCTCTGCAGCCCAGATTTATTCAAGCCAACCAAATTAAAAAAAAAAAAATCAGTCTTTAACAGACATGCTCAAGCACAAGGCACTCACACACATATAAAAATGTTTTATGCCTTCACAGTCAAGTGATTTAAAATTTAAAATATAAAAATCCGATAGTGTTCTCCTGGAATGGATGTTTAAAGCTTAGTCAGCATTAAGATGGAGATTTATTCATAAATCCCATTAAAATGAAATTCCAAACAAGGTTCCCTGAAAGGTATTTTAAAGTTTTCGATTCCGAGGAAACTGTCGGAAATGACAGGCACAAATCTTCGCCCTGCGGAGTTTCAGTGGCACGGGGTGAAGAAATCTGATGAGGGGGAGCAGGGGGAAATGCAGAGTTTCTCCTTTAAATTAAGAAGCGAAAAGAGTAAAAAGAAAAAGAGAGCGAGAGTAAAAGGTCTTGAACCTTTTCCCAACACACTGCTTTGAATGTCGAGGTTAGGAATTCAACAACATTGTCCTGTAACCTGCAGCTGCCTGGGAATGACACAAATGGAGTCCATGAATACCACACAGATGAATTTCAGTGTAACTTTCCTTGAAAAGAAAACAAAGGGCTCTTTTCTTAAGCCTTTCAAAAAGCAGGGGATAGAAACTGTACAAGCCTCCTCCAGATCTGATGGACACTTAATTTTCCAAAGCAGAATTCCCTGACGCAGGACATGGAGGAATTCTGTAAGACCCGTATTTGATGAAACCAACACCGTCCATCCCGTCCGCCTGTTCAAGAGGAAAAAACAAGAGCGCGGCAGCCTCCTTGATTGTGGGGGCCCCTTCCTATCTTCCAAATATGAAAATATCTCCCACTCTTGTTCTCCAGTCCCATTCTCCCTCTTCAATTCATATTCCTCAAGATGGAGAAAAACCTCTTTGGAAATTGTAAACAAACCTGCTGCACAAAAAAATAAAACAAAAGGAAACTTGAATAATCTCTCCAAGCCTCCATAGGTTCATTACCAGGTGTAATCCGAGACAAAGGAGGAAAGGAACGACAACCGAATTCATTTTACCCAGTTCTTTTATCTCCTTTTTCTTTATTCCTCTACCCTCGCTGATGAACCCACTCAGGATCACAATAATGCAATTGTCAACGTCCCATTCTTTCTTTCAATAGCAGGTTTGTTTACCATTTCATGGATTGTTCGAGTTGTTTTCTACTGAAGCCCTCAAGACTAGTTTCTGCTTAGAACACGGCACAATGAAGCACAAAACATACTCCGCCTCTCTTGTTAGCACAGTCTTTCCCCGCAAGTCCAAGTGCCAGCCAGCTTCCCCAGAAAGCCTCTTGGTCATGTTGGTCCTCCTTTGCACTCTCAGCTCTGCAGAATAGAAACTATGTAACCAACAAGGCCAAGGCCAGGTCTTGCTGCCACTGATCTGTCTGCCATCTGCAAATCTACCCAGAGACCAAAACAAACATCCCAAGGAATGGTCTCTTTTTCAATAAGCAGTCACAGTTCCCTTCAAGATACGGCACTCCCCTGAGTCTCGCAGGTCAGTATGGGTATTGGCAGCCAGTCTGAGATACCAGGCGCCTGATGGTTTCAAATAAATGGCTCCTGATCAGATGACTGCCCCGGTGAATGCCTCTCCCAGCCCTTCGGCCCACCCCCAACTCAGCACTAATATCTTTGGCAGGCTCCGTCCAGGAGAAGGGAATCTTCTCTTGGTTAACACATTTTTCTTGTCTCTCGGGTCTATGGCATATTATTTCATCCATCTCAAAAAACAAATTCTAAATTTTAACTCTGGTATTTATATATTATAGAAAACCTGGAGAAATAAAAATGCAAAAAGTCACAGGGAAAGCATTCCAAGAAACGGAGACTCATCACCCTTCTGAAATGCCAGAGCAAAAGGAACAGCTGTCTGCCATGCATTCCTTGTTTTCCTCCTGGTTAAAATCAGACGGACAGGCTTATTGACAAAAATAAGCAAATCCCACCAGTTATGAATGACACATCTGTAATAATGCCCAGGTTACAACTTGCTGGGGGTTCTTAGAGATGTACTTCCCTCTGCTGGTGCCAACATTCTCCATCTCTCTCTCTCTCTCTCACTTGAGAGTTTGTGAATAATGTAGGATTTTAGCACTTTGGGCACTAAAGTGACAAAGACGTGAGTGTGTATCATTCCACCGCTCTTTAAAAAGCCCACTTACTAAGCTAAATAAAATTCCAGTTGGTTCATGAAGCACACCCTGCAGAGCAGGAAGAGGGTCGTTTTGTGCCCAGGTTAGAATGGCAAACGGATTGTTAGCAGCAAAAGGCATGTCACCTAAGTTAAAAATCATCATTAGGACTATTTTCTTTCATTCTGAGCTGAAGGAAAGAAAAGTTAAAAATACCCCTTGTGTTTAGAGAGTCAGACTTTCTGGTCATGGAGGGACATATCTCAGCTGAAGCTCATGGAAGTGAATTCGGGGGTAAATTCTGCACCCAACTGCATCACACCAGTTATATATCTATCACCCGCATGGGCAGTGGTAACTACAAGGGAAGCAACAGGGAAGATGAAGGTGGCCCATCTTCAAAACCAGATGGAGGCTCTGCACTGCCACACATCGCTAAGCCACCAAGCCTGGGACATGCAGTCTGAGAAAAGAGTTTCATTCCCTGACTCGTGACTATTTATACGCAAAGTTTTAGCAATTAAATTATAATTTATAATCAGTTATAAAACAAATTTAATTAAGTTATATGTAGTGATCTATTATTTTTAATTGTCTATCATAAGAATTACGTTTTGTAAAATCAGGATCAAACTAGAATTTTAGTATGGGTGGTCACAGTGCCTACAAGGTTTAGAATTTATGGGGCAGCCAGAAATTAATTCTCACAGCTGTGGTGTACAGAATAATTGGGTTCGCATCTCGGTTTTAACAGTGAGGGAGCTGAAGCTGAGGGTGGCTGGTCACACAGCTACTGAGATGAAGAGGCAGGATTTGACCAAAGATCTGACTGTGAAGTCTAAGTCTTGTCTGCTAGGCATCTGTTCCCAGCAGTAACCATTACGGTCCCGTGATGCAAATCAAAGGTGTGAGAAAGAGCATCAAGTGGCCACTTAGTAACAAACAGATGGCCCAGAGGAGAAAGAGAAGGTTACAACAGTTAAGAAAGTAACATGAGGATACAAAGGAGAGCAGAAGAGAGAGAAAATACATTAAACTGAATAAGAAAGAAAACACTCAAAGAAGTATTTTGGAGCACATAAAAAAAAAAAAAATCAAAAGAAAGCAAGATTCATGATAAAGAAAATTTCAAAATGCTTTATTAAAAAAAAAAAAATTACTACCCAGGAGACATTTCTAGAAGTGCATTATTCAGGTAAGCACTGCAAATATCCAGAATTGGAAACCTGTCTGTTTAAATGTCATGCTTTAGTTAGATGCTTCATAAATGGCTCTGAAATAATAACACTCTGAAATTCCTCAAGTGGCTGGGAAAAGAAAGGCACACAAATGCAAGCGGGAGGCAGGTGCTTTCCCAAGGCTCTTGAACAGCTCGAGATTTCAGGAGAGGACTTAATTCCAGATGAGACCTCCTGGGCCTCTCAATTATTTAAGTTCCTGGATAAATAGTACATATTTTGCTAATTCCAGCTCCACGAAAGAAATACTATCCAAACTCAGGTGAGTATCAATTAGAGGTTTTTCTTTTCTTTTTTCTTTTTTGCTTTTTTCTTTGGAAATCTGCCAGTACAGAAACAATGGCAAGAAATTGGACTTTATAAAGGAAAATGACAAAACAGTGACAGAATGGGACTTTCTTGGGTAGTCTCAATTCTGATTCTGCAGGATTTAGTTGACACTGTCTTAACACCAGGCCATGTGCTGGGTTTGGGAACTCAAAGTCACGGAAGACACGAGGGGTGCCTTCTAGAAACTCCTATCTACTGGGGGAGAGCTGAGCAGTGGTGGACTTATAAAAACAGAGGGCTCTTCATGTCTAGCAAACTCACTGTACTGAATGCAGGAATAAAAGAGCTAGAGAGAACAAATGAACAGCAACAGGAGCATTTAACTACTGTGAGATTAAGGAGGACACAGGAAGAGTAGGAATCAATGGGACTGCAGATCAGGGGAGCTCAGAGGACAGCCCCCTTGCACTCTGAGTGACAGGAAAAGGAAGCCGTACTGAGGATCAATTCTCAATTTTCTGCAGCTCTGCATATGGTAGATGAGTGAAGGTGAAAGGGAGCAGAAATGTGCTGCCAGCAACCACATTTGATTATATG